GTTGAGCGGATGCTGCTTGAGTGAGTGTTCCTTACTGACACCTGGTTTACAGGTGAGCAACAAAGAATTTTTGGAAGGGACTTTTGAAAAATTGGTTGTAGTCAAAGCTTTCTATTTGACATCCTTAGAAGGTCGTTGTCACTTCAAAAGGACTCGAAATAGTAAAATCATAAAAAATTGCCTTATTTTATTTTTGCTGTATAATCGAAGTTGATCCGCAAACTAGACCTACAAGAGAAATTTTTGGAAAATTATTTTCGGTTCAGAAACTTATCGAGCAAAGTTTAGCAACAAAGCACAGAAGTTGCGTGTAACGGATAGGTGCAGCAAACAATGGCTTGTTCAGGTAACTCGATAACGGTGATGGTGCTATCAAACGGTGGGAAAGGCAAGCTTATCGCTGACTTCTGCGCAAAAATGCACAAAAGATGGTAGGGATTTTTTAATTCGTCTAAAAATTTACTATTCCGTTCCTCCATTGAGAGTTTGACATTTTGGAAAATGCTACACTTGACAGACCTCTTTCTTTTTCTTTATCTCACTGCCCGAATATCCGCCAAAAGTCTACTCTTTCTTAGATTTGTATTAAGGCGGATCAATATATTTAGACTAGCGATACAACTAAAGCATGACGGATATTATGGACTGTTAAAGAAAAAGTATAAAAATTCAAACCCTTCTCCTGAGGTGCGCAAGAGCGTTTACACGCCAATCAGAAACGATCCCAAATGGCCCAACCCATTCCAGTGATGTTCCAAAAGAGCCATTTCTAATTTCCGACCTAGAACATCAATCAGCCTCGTGAAAGCGTAGGCGCAAAGCTCTATTTCCCTTCGAACGTTACTCTGCTACACTTGTTAATCTATGCGTGGGACAGTTCTAATAGAATCAACTTGATATCAGAAAATGTGTAGAAGAAAAGGTCACAAGGTTCTTTTAACGGAATTTGCACTTAAAGTGCCGAAGCTTTAAAAACTTGAACAACAGGGTCACATGTAAATTCAGAATTTTATGAAGGTTAAGTGCGAAGAAATTTGGAAATTTTAAATTTTTCAAAGTGTAAAAGCCGAATTTCCTAAAGTTTTTACATGGATTGACCTAAAAACACTTTCAATCTTTGTTTTGATCTGCTATTTACAGCACACCATGAATAGTTGGTTTCAGGAGAATTGAAAACATATTTGTGCTCGAGCAAGTTTCGCAGACGTCTCGAACATTCATTCAAATGAAAATCTGAACCATCTTCAACTTTCACAAATAATCTATAAAATTCACGACAGATCAATTGCTAACTGATCATCATAGAGGTAATGTAAGTGTTCTTCTCTGTTTCCCAATTACTTCAATCTTTTATTTACATTATCAATTTATATCAATAAATAAGCTACAAAAGCTATGAATATCTGTCCGGCTACGGTAGCAGAAGCTTGTGTTAGATTACCAGCGGTGATTTCCACTGTGTTAAACATGGTGCGCTTCGTAGTTACCTAAATTAGTATTGCGTATGAAGGTAAAGGAAAAATTTGTGCAAATCTGGGTAAAATTTGACACAAACATGAAATATACTGCCGGCAAGCGGTTGTCCAAGTTCTTTTCCAAGATTAGTGGTGGTTAGGAAACATTGAACATCTGCGCATCCACCCATAAAATCGGAACCTAAAATAACCACGCAGTTAATCAATAACTTAATAACTGACTGAAGTCTAGATAATTTAAACGATCAATATCTCACCAGCCATAACTTGTCTCGCGACGAAATTTCCCTGATTTTGATTCCCAACACTAACTGGACCATTTGTGCGAAACACTAAGATCACGTATTGCGAGCGATCTTAAATCACGATATTGATTACTAAATCAATAAACTAATCAATATTCTTACGCACATGAATCCTGCTTAATAATTGCAGTGCTGTTGTCAAAATATGATGCTCGTCCGCTCAATCCTTGAAGCATCTCAGGTACCAGTAAGCGATTATACCCAATAGAAGGTAGATTGTATGTTAGAAATATGGCAAAAGGCTTTGTGGATGGATCTAAGAAAAATCGATAATCGATTTCTTGTTAAAATCTTGGCAGATCAATACCTATGATTGTCATTACATGCAGGAAACCGCCTTGCATCGGTGGTGACATAAATTCAATGTTCTGTACCATAGCTGTAGCATAGTTCGGGTAAGTTAATATGACCACCTGAAAACTCGTACACTTTGCATCTCGTGACATTTAAAGTTTTTAAGAAAACATAAACCAACTCGTCCGTGTCTACGAAGCTTAACCTACCTCATCTCCTGTGTGTACTACAGGAAAAGCAGTGTTTAAATCAAGTGGAATCATTTCAACCTAAAACAATCATGATTTTTGCTAATCATTATGTCGGCAGTATGCACATTTCCCGAAAAATATCTATTGTTTACCGAATTGAGCGTTGCTAGGGGTGCTTGCGGAAATATTTGCGGTGTGAGTGAAAACTCAATAAACCCTGAAAACAAGGGTTGTGGATGAAATACCGCAAAGCAAATAAGTGAAGCAAATAAATGACTATTGAATTATTGGTAGTTACAAATGAGTATAATTTGATTTGTTAATCACTTACAGTCCGCAATGCTCATTGATGCTGTT